ATTCTTCACAGAATTGGAAAAAACTGCTTAAAGTTCATATGAACCAAAAAAGACCCGACATTGCCAAGACAATTCCAAGCCAAAAGAACAAAAGCTGGAGGGCATCACGCTACCTGACTCAAACTATACTACAAGGCACAGTAACCAAAACAGCCATGGTACTGGTACCAAAACAGAGATATAGACCAATGGAACAGAACAGAGCCCTCAGAAATAATACCACACATCTACAGCCATTCTGATTCTTTGACCAAACCTGAAAACAAAAATTGTGCACATGTACCCTAGAACTTAAAGTATAATAATAATTTTTAAAAAAAGAGTTGATATTGGTTGTTTCTTCACCACCCAGCATACATGTCCAGCTTCCCTCCTCCCCCAACCCTGCTTAATAGCAGCTAACTTTGTTTCGGGTATTACATCTTGAATCCCCTGTCAGTAGCCTATGTCTGTAAAAAAAAAAAAAAAAAGTAGCCCATGTGTGACTGAATTCAGTCTGGTAGGACAGTTAAGCAAATTATCAACCTGCTGTGTCCAATTAAACACTTCCTCCCGGGTCTTTGACTCTAAAGCAAACAGACCTAGAGGTTAAGAACCACAGGAATTGTCCACTCCTGCAGAACTGTAGCCTGGTAAGTTCAGGGTTCACGCTGTAGGCCCCAGTCTGAGTCAGACGTCTAAGTGAACAGAAGAAGCTTCCTTAGAACCAGCCAGTTTCCAAGCCCGATCTCTAGCCTCCTTGGTGATTCAATAGGCCCCACTATCCTCACAATAAACGGCCTGTGGCTTTCTTAGTAATTGTAACTTGCTGTCAATGACCCTTAATGGTTTGGGTGACATTTCAAATCAGCAGGGAAATATTAGAGTATTCAGAAAATGGTTTCAGGAAAACTACTAAACTATTTAGAGAGAAAAAGTCCAATTCATCAAGTAGATTGCAAAATACTAAAGAGTTAACTATAAAAAAAAAAGCACACCATAACCAGGAAGTTATTGGGGTAGCATAATCTTGGAAAGGAGAAAATCTTTTTAAGCATGATTCTAAGGTAAGATTACAAAGAGAAATATTGGTAAATTTGAATACATAAAAATTAAAACGTTTTCTGTTTTTCTGACAAAAATTAAAAGGCAAAGGACAATCCAGGGAATATATTTGCCCAATACAAGTCAAAGGATTCAAAGCCATACTATATAAAGAGCTCTAATAAATCATTAAGATAAATATTTAAATCTAAAACTGAGTACAGAATACAGACAAAACACAGAAGAAAATAAAATATAAATGGTGCATAAACATAAATATGTGACATACTTACATATATGTATAAATATATATGAGCTTATGTATATGCAATTATAAATGAATAAAAAGTTTAATCTTACTAGTATTCAAAGAAATTCAAACTAAATAATGAAGTCGTCTTGCATCTTTCAAATTAGCATGGGTTAAAAAGAATAACAACTTTCAGTGCTGGCAAAGGCATAGGAAGAAGAGCATTCTCATATATTGGGAATATAAATGGGTAAACTTCCCTAAAAGGCAGTATGTCAATATGCATCAAATACTCTAAAGATACATTCATTTTTATCATATATATCTACTTTTAGGAGCTGTAAAAAGGTTTTAATTTGTATAAGAATGATGGTCATCTCTCTAATTACAAAAAGCAGAGATCTGGTTAAACAATGTTATATTCATACATATAGAGAAGTCACTACCAATAAAATTGTAGAATATTTTAAAACATGGAACAGGCCGGGCGTGGTGGCTCACACTTGTAATCCCAACAATTTGGGAGGCCAAGGCAGGCGGATCACCTGAGGTCAGGAGTTTGAGACCAGTCTGGCCAACATAGTGAAACCTTGTCTCTACTAAAAATACAAAAGTTAGCTGAGCATTGGTGGCCCATGCCTGTAGTCCCAGCTACTTCAGAGGCTGAGGCAGAAGAATCGCTTGAACCTGGGAGACAGAGGTTGCAGTGAGCTGAGATAGCGCCACTGCACTCCAGCCTGGGTGACAGAGCAAGACTTCATCTCAAAACATAAATAAATAAAACATAGGACAATGTGATCAGTTAAAAAAGAAATCATAAAGCAGCATGAAGGAGATAGCACATTTAAATACATTAAATATATATGTATACATACATGCATACACATACATCCATATACACACACATTATGCACAGAAAAGACTGGAAGGACATAACCAACTGGGTGGTAGGATTATGAAGTGTTTCGTTTTTTGAATTTCTATAGTAAATGTATAATTTTTATTATATGAAAGGGGTATACTTTTTATGTGTTGCATCGGTTTTGCAATATTCTATGAAGAACTCAGGGTAGGTCATGTCCACACCAAACAAGGATTAGTCCATTCTCGCATTGCTAGAATGAAATATTTGAGACTGGGTAATTTATAAAGAGGTTTAAGTGGCTCATGCAGGCTGTACAGGAAGCATGATGCCAGCATCTGCTTGACTTCTGGGGAGGTTTCAGGAAACGTACAATCATGGTGGAAGGCGAAGGGGGAGCCAGAAAGTCACCTGGCCAGAGCAGGAGCAAGAGAGAAAGCAAGGAAGGGAGGTGCCACATACTTTTAAACAACAGGTTCTCGTGAGAACTCATTCCCTCACTATCATGAGGGCAGCACCGAGGTATGGTGCTAACCACTCATGAGATCTGCCTCCATGGTCCAATCACCTCCCAGCCGTCTCCACCTCCAACACTGGGGATTACAACTGAACATGAGATTTGGGCAGGGACACAGATCCAAACCATATCAACAGGAAAGGGAAGCAAGGCTGAGAGAGAGGGTTTCTTGTCCTAAGTCACATAACCAGGAGGTGGTGAAGCATGGTTTTGATCCTGGATTGCTGACTTCAAATCCAGTACTGTTTGTACTGCATGCATTGCCCCCAAGCAAGTGAACACACTGGTTTGTAGCTCTGAGATTTCTGGCCGTGTATGAGCCAAGGCAGAGAGACACCTAGGATCAAGCTCTAAAGTGAGGTAAATATTGATGATTTCGTGGTACCATCAACCAAACAGATGTATGTGAGAGTACACATCTGTGGTATGTGATGTTCTTTTTATGTATCTGTGGAGGTAGAGAAAGCGGTAAGAAATAGAGGAGACCAAATCTCCCTTTCCTATCCTTCCATGCAGTCTGTGATGTGGGGAAACAGGGTCTGAGATTAATACCAGGAGGGGTCAGCCCTTCAAGCCTGCACACTGGGTGTGGGCTTTCTTTTTGGTGTGGACCTGCAGGCACTGTGGTTTCCCTTCAGCCAATCACTCTGTCTACCCCACACAGGGCCCTGCATTGGAAAATGAGAGTCCAAGAAAAAAATGGCCAGTTCCTCGTAGGTCACCAGATTTTGCTATACTCATGGCACGTAGTATTGAGGAATAAAGAGGCTGGCCAAGTCATGGATACAAGATGGCGAGTTATCCTTTCTGATGGAGATGGGGATCCAGGTTGTGCCAACTGTCAATCATAAGGGGGTCTACACCATACCAGGAATACTTCTGTGTACATGATATAAGGATGAAATCTGATCAATGTTCTCTAGGCCACATTCAACAGACAATAACAAGATGGAGCTCCAACAATCCATTTTTGTAACTCAGTGGGCACTTCAGCATTGAAACTGTGCCAACTGACACTGGTCCTGCTGGCTTTCGTAGATAAGAATGCAGAGAGCAGCAGGCTTCCCAGTGGCTGCCCTGTAAATCCAAACCACATGGTCCCAAGCCAAGCAAGCATGGTCCCACAGCAGAAAAGCTTCTGGTTATTCGGCAATCACTTCTCGGAATCACAGCCACAGGTAGAGCAGGCAGAGGGCAAGTGTGGAGGGACGTGGCTCTGAAAGGTAGCCTGCTGTTGCTTCCGAGACAAAGCAACAAAGGCCCATGTTCCCACACCCAGGAGGCACAGTCCTATCGGGAGTTTAAGTATATTCATACCAGAATGCAACCAAACACACTGCAATTTCTGTCACAGCCAGATGTACATATTGCAGCACCATGAGCTACGTTATCTTGAAATGATAGTTCTACCCAACAAACAAGTTGTTGATCTTCTACAACAAGCTCCTGTGACCCACCAGGCTGCATGCAGCCCAGGCAGCTTTGAATGAGGCCCAACACAAATTCGTAAACCTTCTTAAAACACTATGAGATTTTTTTGACTTATTTTTTTTAGCTAGTCAGCTATCGCTAGTATGAGTGTATTTTATATGTGGCCCAAGACAATTCTTCTAACGTGGCCCAAGGAAGCCAAAACACTGAACACCTCTGTTCTACAATGTACACAGCACACTGTCTACAATTTTCTAAATGTGGCCCAACACAAATTCGTCAACTTTCTTAAAACATTATGAGTTTTTTTGGTGACTTTTTTTTTTTAAGCTCATCAGCTATCGCTAGTTTTACTGTATTTTATGTGTGGCCCAAGACAATTCTTCTTATAACGTGGCCCAGGGAAGCCATAAGATTGAATACCTCTATTCTACAATGTACATAGCACAGTGTCTACAATTTTCCTGGATCTGAAAGAAAATTATTTTTAATTGAGAACTATATTGTTTTATTTGTCATCCAGCATAATATGTACATCAGCACTTCAAATTGACTTGCAAATTGATTTTTAAAAATTCAATACAAATAAGAATCAATGCAACAAATGCTAAAATATAATAGTTACTAAGGATACTTATTCCAAAATAGCACATTGTGATCCTTAAAAATATACTATTAGTAGCTGATTTACAAGTAGAACAACTTTTAATTGTACTACTTATAAATCAATAAGCAAATTGCTATCTAATTTATAGAAATAAATCAGATTAACCTAAATACCTTAAACTAGAAAATATCAGAATGAATTGAAAGTGTACATGAGAACCTAAGAATACAATAAAACTATTTTTAAAATTGCTCTCATGCAAAATCAAATCCTATGACCTTTATGAAAGGGTTTGCATTTCATTACTTACCAGCTGGCAGCCTTCTAGGGAGTTGACTAGCTGAGCATTCTGACAAGACAGAATTGAACCAGCCAAATTCAGCATTACACACACTGCAGAAAGCAGCATGAAAAAGGTTATCTGGAAACAAACCAAACAAGAAATTGATTATTCACTTGGAGAGGCTCAAAGGAAAAATGACATGGCTTTACGACAGCTTTCATTTATTATACAACAGTTGATCACATAATTACATGAATAACATGTATGTGTTTTAAAGGAAAGTGGTAGGTTATTTCTCAAACTTCCAAATTCGTATGACCCGAAATAGAAAAAGTAAGATCTGTAGGAAGCCATAGCAAGCTACCATGGTTTTGTTTAAAACCTATTATGATAAAATACTTAAGGAGTTAAACTTGAAAGACTGTGCATTATATACTCTTAAGAGTAACAAGTTATACATTATTAAAGAAAATCAAGTGAAAGAAGTATACTTATTAGAAGGCCTTTAGGTTTGTTTTAATTTTTATTACAGAAAATTTCATACACATGCAAAACCAAAGAAAACAGTATAATGAAGTCACATGTGCCCACCACCCAACATCAATAATTAATCCACTTACAGCCAACTGCGCTTCATTTATGGCCCCTACCATCTGGATTATTTCGCAACCAATACCAGGCATGATAAAATTTTACCCTTAATATTTCTAAAGGAATTGAGAAGCTTTCTGAAAACATAGCCAAAATAATCATCATATCTGTAATAAATAAAAATTCCTACCGGGCGCGGTGGCTCACGCCTGTAATCCCAGCACTCTGGGAGGCCGAGGTGGGCGGATCACAAGGTCAGGAGATCGAGACCATCCTGGCTAACAGGGTGAAACCCCGTCTCTACTAAAAATACAAAAAAGCCGGCGTGGTGGCAGGTGCCTGCAGTCCCAGCTACTCGGGAGGCTGAGGCAGGAGAATGGCGTGAACCCGGAAGGCAGAGCTTGCAGTGAGCCGAGATGGCACCACTGCACTCCAGCCTGGGCGACACAGCGAGACTCCATCTCAAAAAAAAAAAAAAAAAAATTCCTTAATATCACCAGATATTGCGTTCACATTTCCCTAATTGTCTAAGTTTTTTCACACTTTGAATCAGGCTACACAGGATAGAAAGCAGGTCCGTGTGGTACAACTGGCTGTTAGGAATCTTTGACAGTCTGTGGGTTTCCCATTCACTTTTTCCTCTGTGAAATTTACTGAAGAAACCAGTTCATTTGTCCTATAGAGTTTCTTACAGCCTAAACTTTCTGATTATAGACCTGTATCATTTAACGTTTCTCTAGCCTCTGTATTTCTTGTAATTTGGTGATTAAATACAGAGGTTTGGCCAAATTCAGATCAATAAAAGGCAAATATTGTCTCTCTTTTTTTTTTTCTTTTCTTTTTCTTTTTTTTTTTTTTTCGACGGAGTCTCACTCTGTCACTGGAGTGCAGTGGCACAATCTCGGCTCACTGCAACCTCTGCCTCCCGGGTTCGAGCGATTCTCTTGCCTCAGCCTCCTGAGTAGCTGGTACTACAGGTGCGTACAACCACACCCAGGTAATTTTTGTATTTTTAGTAAAGACGGGGTTTCACCATGTTGACCAGGACAGTCTCGATATCTTGACCTCGTGATCTGCCCTCCTCGGCCTCTCAAAGTGCTGGGATTACAGGCATGAGCCACCGCGCCTGGCCAATATTTTCTCTCTTTTTGTGATGTTAGCGGCCATTTTTAATGATGACTTAGACTAATTAATTTATTAGGGTTTCCAAAACAGTGCTAGTCTCACTCTGTCATCTTTTCTTTATGAATAAGAATACATATAGAGACAGAGGCTTTTATTCATCAACTGTTTTGTTACCCTGAGGTATAGTTCATATAGGAAAAGCAGGATATATACTCGACTCTTTCTGTTCATTTTCCAGGTTTTAAAATAATTTTAAACGCAAAATAAACTCAACGAAGTCTATATGGTTAATTAGCACTCTTTCTGCATCTATGTAAATAATCAGGCCAAATCTAATGAAGAAAGACCCTTTTTGTGATGGAGAGTAACCTTTAAGATTAATATGATCAAGAGGCAGGGAGAGTGGCATTAAAACTTGTTAAAGAGCAAAAAAAAGTCACTGGATATCCTGTCTAATGCACCCTTCAGGGTTATTTCTGCCTTACAATGTCTTTTTGCTATTTCAAAACTCTGCATAAAACTGATAGTTCATCAACTGATAGTCGTATAAAACTGAGAGTAGTGCAAATGATTCTTGACGATACAAATGTAAAGGAATTTTGTCTGGTAGCATGTAACTGATTATTGCCCCACTGATATTGACCACTTTTATATTTATTTGTAAATTTATTTCAGCATTCCTGATTGCTTATATGTGTGCAGTGTTTGAATTAGCCTTTCAACTGCTTGTAACTTCTTACTGATTTCCTCATTAAATAATGAGTTAGACATAGTCTTTGACACATGTCTATTTTTTTTAAAAAGCTGATTCCTGGCTGGGCACAGTGGATTATGCCTGTAATCCCAGCACTTTAGGAGGTCAAGGTGGGTGGATCATGAGGTCAGGAGTTTGAGACCAGCCTGACCAACATGGTGAAAGTCCGTCTCTACTAAAAATACATAAATTAGCTGGACATGGTGCTGCGTGCCTGTAATCCCATCTACTCAGGAAGCTAAGGCAGGAGAATTGCTTGAACCCGGGAGGCAGAGGTTGCAGCGAGCTGAGATCTTCAGCCTGGGCAGCAGAGTGAGACTCCATCTCAAAAAAAAAAAAAAAAAAAAGCTGGTTCCCTAGCATCCTCCAAAATTAACAGTATCATGAAATACTGTTTTGTCTGTTTAGTGGAGAGGGGAGTGAGTTTGAGCCATTGTGAGCCAAGAACTTAAACACATTTGATACGTTATAATCATCTGCGTCATTAGACAGAGAGAGTCTAACCAAATACTGTATATTCTCACTTACAGGGTGGGAGCTAAACTTTGGGGACACACAGACACAAAGATGGGGACAACAGGCACTAAGGACTCCAACCGAGGGTTGAGGGGAAGAGCTGAAAAACCACCTACTGTGCTCACTAACTGGGTGATGGGATTATTAGAAGCCTAAACTTTAGCATCATGCAACATATTCATGTAACAAACCTGCACATGTACCTCCTGAATCTAAAATTTAAAATAAATATAGTCATACATAACAAAAAAAAACTGCAAACAAAACTATAAGGTTTTACGTAACCATATTAATTTTACATCTGTATCTCCTTTCAACCATGCCAAAAACTATTTCTTAATATAATTAATCTATTGGATTTAATTTCACAATATCCACGCAAGTCTCAAAATAACAACGCCAATACAACTGCCAAAAAAAATGACTGAAAATAGTTTAAGATTTATATTTCTTTTTATTCTTACAGTACATTCTACCAGAAATAGTCAAATTATGGTGTTTTAAACTCACATGGTTCCTTTATGTGTGGTTATGCTACTGATCAGGAACCCAGGTTAGTTCCTTTTATTTCATTTTTTCTTGTTTAGGAATTGTTTCTAAAACTGAGTTTCATTTATAATTATATAAAATGATTCTAAAGTCAGGTCTATAAGTGAAGTTTCACATAAGTCTAGCCTTTATTCTGTTCCTCCACTCTATTTCCTCCCTTCTATTTTTTAATAGATAAGCATTTATTTTTTAATTTTATATTTTATCCTTCCATCTTTTTTTAATAAAAGTATATAACAGCAGCATAATACATACATTTTCTTCACTTACTTTTTTTGCACTTAATATAGTGAAGATCTCGCTATAAGAACATACAAATAACCCTATTCCCTTCTACAATTGCCTAATACTTCATGGCACAGATGAATCACCATTTTTTATTATTTATTTATTTATTTAGAGATGGAGTCTCGCTCTGTCACCCAGGCTGGAGTACAATGGTGCGATCTCAGCTCACTGCACAAAGGACAATACTAAGAAATGCTTTCTGCTAATTAGATCAAAAAATATATGAAAACATCTTCTAGAAAATATAAGTGACCAAAACCAATTTCAAAAGAACAAAAAACCTGAACATAATCTTGAGAAAAATATCAGTAAAACTCTACCCACAAAAAACAGCAGGCCCATAGCCTTTCACGGGTAGATTGGTTTCAAACTTTCGAAAACATCTAATCTTCCGATAATAGAGCAAAAGGCAAGTTCCCCAACGCATTTATAAGACCAGAGGTTTTCTATTTCTTGAACAATTCAGTGCAATAGCCGTTAAGTGGGACAGAACAAGTTCCATGTCCTGGGAGAGGCCGAGGTCACCTGAGTGGGGTGAAAGCTCTAGCAACGGGAGAAGGGTGACTGCACAGACAAGCCAGCAATGTGGGACATCGCAGCCCAGGTGGGAAGCTAAGTGCACCCATGTGGGATGGAGTGGCAGCAAGGATAGTGGATTGGTTATTTACAAGGTGAATTAATCAAATAAGGAAATATGGTAAAGATAATAGGCGCTGAGTTTCTCAAACCAGAATACACACGGTGGTGCTGTATTGCAAATGGCAGTATAATGTAATCTCATAGTCTTCAGTGCTGTGTAGATGACTGATAGATAGATATCCTATAATTTCGTCATCTAGAGGGCTGGGAGCAATGATATTCCCAGTAGGCATGAGTGAACCTAGCAACCTTGTTTCTTTTTTTTTGAGTCTCGCTCTGTCACCAGGCTGGAGGGCAGTGGCACAATCTCGGCTCACTGCAACCTCCACCTCCTAGGTTCAAGGGATTTTCCTGCCTCGGCCTCCCAAGTAGCTGGGACTACAGGCACACGCCACCTCACACCTGTAATCCCAGCACTTTGGGAGGCCGAGGCGGGAGGATCATGAGGTCAAGAGATAGAGACCATCATGGTCAGGTGGTGAAACCCTGTCTCTACTAAAAATGCAACTTTGTTTCTCAATTCCATTCTCCACAAAAAGAAACCAGAGCTCTTTAGGGAAAGGATTAATTCCAGGTCTAGGGCAGGGAGAGTTAAGACTGAACTCCTGGCCAAGTGTGGTGGCTCACGCCTATAATTCCAGCACTTTGGGAGGCCGAAGCGGGCGGATCACGAGGTCAGGAGATGGAGACACCTTCCTGCTAACACGGTGAAATCCCACTCTCTATAAAAACCACAAAAATTAGCTGGGTGTGTGGTGGGCACCTGTAGCCCCAGCTACTCTGGAGGCTGAGGCAGGAGAATCGCTTGAACCAGGAGGTGGAGATTGCAGTGAGCCGAGGTCGCACCAATCCGAGCGGAACTCCGTCTAAAAAAAAAAAAGACAGAACTCCCTCTCTTCTTTGGTGCTACAAAGTAAGGAAATGCTCAATAAATGATGTTGGGGGCATGTTGGAGATGCAAAAGCCAGCTTTAAGGGGCTCCCACTGGCCAAATCAGGGACAATTTGAGTATCGGAATATGTAATGATAATAAAAGATTAGATAATAAGTTAATGATAAGAGACCCATGGGTCTACACAAAGTCTCAAAGTATCTCCCCCCAAGTTATTTACCTTAAAGGAGAAAACTTCGCAGTGGAGGCACATGACACCTTAACCAAAGTGATCAAAGTTTCAAAATAACAGGACACATTGAAATTTTGTGCCACCTGATAGGATCCAAAAATAACACAGCATTGCTTCTGTGATATTCTTCCCAAAGATGCATAATTCAAATCCGGTCATGAAGAAACAGCAGACAACCCCCAGCTGAAGGATGTGCTACAGAAAACAGGCCTGTATTCTTCAAGTGAAGGTCATGATGGTCAAGGAAAGACTGAGGAAATATTGGCAATAGGAAGGAGACTAAAGAATCATAACTAAATAGTTCAGGGAACAAATTATTTTGCATTGGGCTTGCAACTTTTCTGTAAATTTAAGGTTATCTCTAAGTAAATTAGCATAACCTCAAAAATAATGATAATATATGAAAATTAAAGACTAAAGCCCCTTATGTCAAAAGATGCAAAATTATATATTTTGAGCTATATGTATTTAAAAATTTTATCAACAAGTGTTTGGCTCCAAAATGCAAGAATGTTTAGATATCAGAAAGCTCTATGTGTTATTATACCAAATTATATGCCCAAAAAACAAATTTACAGAGTAAATAAGAAATTTTAATCATATTAGCAGGTGAATAAAGAGCATATATAAATCTAAAGTCATTCGTAGTTTTTCTAAACATCTCTAAGCAAGCTAGGACTGAAGGGGTAAATAAATAGCTCAGTAAAAGGTATTTATAGGGGAAAAAAACTTTAACAGCAAACATCACACTCTATGGCAAAAGTTAAACATTATTTCCTTTAAAATCAAGAATAAGGAATCAGAAACATCTTTACAGCCTGCTGTAACTGCTTCTTTTCAATAAGATATTGCACTTTCAGCCAATGCAGAAAAGACTAAAAGGCTTTAAGAATCAAAAAAGAAGACACATATGATGCTAAAGAATTATAGGCTGGGCACGGTGGCTCATGCCTGTAATCCCAGCACTTTAGGAGGCTGAGGCGGGCGGATCACCTAAGGTCAGGTTCCAGACCACTCTGGCCAACGTGGCAAAACCCTGTCTCTACCAAAAGTACAAAAATTAGCCGGGTGTGGTGGCAGGCGCCTGTAATCCCAGTACTCAGGAGGCTGAGGCAGGAGAATCGCTTGAATCCAGGAGGCAGAGGTTGCAGTGAGCCAAGATAGAGTCACCGCACTCCAGCATGGGCGACAGGAGTGAGACTCTGTCTCAAAAAAAAAAAAAAAAAGAAAAAGAATTAAGAATTATAGTATGGTATTTGCAGATGGATAGCAAAGAAACCAATTCAGTCCTATCCATAAACTTATCTATAGATGGGACATTGCTATAGAATACTGAGTGTCATAAATCAGTGTGAAAAGAATAAATGATGAAAAATTGGTGCTAGGCTATCCATATAGGAAAAAACACAAAAACTATTTCCATGCCTCACATCATACACAAAAGCAGATTAAAAGCATAAAATGTGCAGATCAAAACTTTGAACTTAGGGAAACAATGCAGAAAACATGTTTACAATTTTAGGATTGGGGAATTTTTTAAAGCACTATACACAGATGTAGCGCTTATAAACACTGATGATTGCTACACATTAAGGTCAAATGATCTGTATGACCAAAAGAAGTGAAAATGTGGGAGAAGGTATTTGCACTAGATAGATAGAGCAGACCATGGATTAACATGTAGAACATATAAAGATGTCTTACAAATCAATAGAAATGTGTCTAAGACATGAAACCTGACAGTCAAAAAGAGTGAGAGTAAAAGATAGGCAGATACTTAACATCACTAGTAAGCAACAGGTACAAGTTAATACCGTAATAAATTATCATTCCACACTGCACCAGAATGGCTGAAAAGATACTGAAAAGGCCAAGTGTTCACAGTGGGTGAAGGTTGAGGGATTGGCAACAAAACCAAAACAAAACTGTATAAAATGTTGGTAGGAGTGTAACTTGACACAAGCTCAAGAACAGTTTGGCAATAGTCCCTGATTGCTCCATTTGTTTCTGGCTGGAGAAACTCACACATGTGCCTAAAGAAGTACTGTACAATGCCTGCAAATCTCAAAGAACTGGAAAGACCTTAACTGTCTAGCCATTAAGGAATGGATAAAGTTATTTTTCCCCCATAAAAGAACAATTAAAATGAGTGAATCAGGTCTACATATATCCACATGGCTGAATCTCAAATACATAATGGTGAGTGAGAACAGCAAGTTGCATAAGGACACACGTAATACCGTTTATATAAATCATGAAAGCCCACAAAATAAAACTCTATATTGGTTATGTATCTATACATGTGTAGTAAAATTATAGTCATACAACAGCCCGATAGCCGCAGACTTTTGTTATCTCTGGGGAGGGTGAGAAGGAAAAGATATAAGGCCTTGATGTGGCCTCTTATGTTTCATATTTTAAAATTTGAAACAAGATTATCAATGGTAAATTGTTAACACCTCTGAGAAAAGCGGAGGGAATTTTGCCTCAGATATAACCGGTGGTGACTGCAGGGTAACAATTTTTATTATACAGGTGAGAATGTGAGTATCAGAGGGCACGAGGAGAAAGCTGAGTCAGGGAGGTAACGGGACCAGGAGGCAGGAAGCAATTTATACACTGAAATAAAATGCAGATCAAGAAGAAATGCCTATAAGGACCAAACATCTTCCACTGATGAAACGAAGGCAAATCCCAATTCAACAGAATGAAATAAAACCCAGCAACCTATCACATTCCTCCATACTCACTATAGACTCTTTTAAATGACATTCAGTCCAGTGTTGATGAAGTTCACTTTTTCCCCGAGTGAAAAATATCTGCCTTATTTCAAGGTTAATTTGCAGCACCTCCCCCTAAAACAATTATACTTATTTACCCACTGAATAAAACGTGTTGAATCTCTGCATTAAAAACAGCATCTGCTACATGTAATTGAGGAATACAATGGGACTATGAACTCTTCTAGTTCATCTAGTCCATAAAACAAACTATTATATAGCTATAATTTTTCTCATTGTACAGATAAAGAAACTGAGATTCAGACAGCTTAAAACCTACCACCATATCACCATGCTGACAAGTGAGCATGAGCCGTAATTCAAATTCAGTTTGCCAGATAGCCCCAAGACCCACACCCTTTTCCCTATACCTAACTCCCTACGAGGTAGATCTTATGTCCTGCTCTTACTGTTCTATGTGGGCTATACTCACCATACACTTTATACTTATTTCCCCATACAATAGAGTCAGACTAGTGGAATATACCTTTTGAACCAGTAATTGCTCTCCTAGGAATCATTTGGAAAACAAGATAAAGAAAAGTTATATTTAAAAAGTGGCAGCTCCAGACCTAGAATAAAAAATAAAAACATTAAAGAATAACAAGCAAATTCCTCCACATCAGGGACTAAACCCATTTTACAGGTCAAGAAACATCTGCATACAAACTAAGGAACCTACGTAAATTCCTATACTAGTGATGGTGGGGCCAGGATCTGAACCCAGGCAGTCTGATTCCCAAGCAGGCATGGTTAATGGTTACACTATTGTTTTATAAGCCTTTTTGGTATCCACAGTAGAAATATATTTTACCTCATGATCCTGTACACACACACACAAAAGTGAAACAACTTCTACGAAACAACGTTGACCTCAATATGTAGCAAAAACTTTAAGACGCTGATTTCGTCATGAAATTGTCTCATGGCCCACGATTTAAAAAACACACAATGCTTCAGTGCTTCAAAAATACAGTATTTATTGTAATAACTAGAGTAGCATGTAAAAAAAAACTAAGTGGAACTGCATGTTTAGCAACAGAGCTGAGTAATTATGAATATAAACAATTGCTATTTGGAGAAAATACACCACGTTCATTGCTTGGAACCATGAATAATACTTATATATGCAGGAAATATAGAAAAAATAAAATAGGTTAAGGTAATAAGGATATAGGCAATTACGTTTTTATTTTTAATTTTATAAAGACTTTTATTTTTCCTTACAAACTGGGATGCTTAAGAGACCCGATAATAGCTACTTTTTTATTTTCTTGGCACCAAAGCAACTTACTTATGTGTTCCTTCTGGCATATCTGTTTCAGATCATAGTCAAGTTTTCCAATTCGTTTTACTAAGCTAGGAAAAGTTTTTATACCAAAAAAAGTAAAATCAAAGCAAAACAAATGCTCCTTTGTTTATAGATGAAAATCTGGAACCAAATAACACAACATTAAAAGAACAAAACTTTGCAAACACATCCTAAAGCTACACACATTGAAACGCTACAGAAATACGCTTCCTGGGTTCGTTCTCCCTTCCCCCGCTCCTCTGCACTGTGCCTTTGGGTCTCAGACCCTTGTCCCGGGGGTCCCTCTGAATCCACCTCAGATTTCAAGAGGATGGGGCTGAGCCACTGGGCTGAGGTCTGGCCCTGTTCTCCTCATCTGCCAACGCCTCACAGTACTGCGCTGGCCAGTCCTTGGGGTCTTGATTATGGACTTTGGCCACAAACTTAAGAACTTTCATCTTGCTGGTTTCCAGGTTGGTTCGCGGGCCCCACTGGAACTCGTAGTCCACGGGGTCGGTGTGGGGTATCCGCCGGTATTCCAGGTAACGTTGTCGCACAAAGTCCTCAGTAATGAGTTTCTTTGGATCTCCGAAAATGAAATGCTTCTTGGTGGGGTAGACCCCTAAGCGTCGCAGAAAGTCCCAGACTTCAGTCTCCTTGACGGTGTTGCCCTTCATAAAGATGAGCCCCAGGACGATCATCAGGAGGCCCGTAGTGGGCGTGCCTTGGTCACCCCTCACCTCGGCATCCTCCTCCACCGGCTCCAGGGTGTTGATGAGGATGTAAGTGTTGCTCTTGGGTTCAAGTTCCACCAGCTTATACCCGAAGACGTACTGGAGGCGCTCGGCGGCCCGTTTGAGGAGGTCGGGGAAGATGTCCTTGTAGTCCCCGATGACGTGCTTCAGTATGTCGGCCCGCTTGATGGGAATCTTCTTCTGGTCCTTAATCAGCAAGAACTGCACCAGCTCGGACACTTTCAGCTCCTGCTGCTTCTGGGTCCTGGGGCCCACGGCGGGGGCGGCCTGGGACCGGCGGGCGCCCTGCGACGAGGGGCCCTGCGACCACTGCGAGCCGCCCGGCCCCCGGGAAGTGCTCGGGGCCTCCTCCGCTAAGCGGTCTCTGGGGGCCCGGGCGTCTTCGCCCGCCCGCGAGGCCCCGGAGTTTCCGCCACGGCTCCAGTCGCTGTCCCTCTCGGCCCGGCCGCCAGAGCGACCCCGGTTCCTCGGTTTTTGCAACATGTCACCGGCGACGGGTACCGGTGCACACTCCGGCAAGCAAGCAGCCGCAGCGGGGATCTTGGGTCGGCGACCCGCTAAGGCCGCTGCCTGGGCGGGGCCCCAGAAGGGGCGCGCAGTGTCGGCTGAGACTGCGTGCTGCGTCATGAAGCCTGCGCCTTGCGTCACGGCGGCTGGGCGGTGCGCCTGCGCGGCTGCGGGGCTGGGGGTACCAAAAGCATCAGAGATTTCTGTGCAGCCCTGCGGGTCTGGTCGGTGAATTTCAGTATAGCGAAGTGTTGTTCTTACTAAACCATGCAAGCAGAGAACGAGAACCGAAACTCCTAAACAAGTGTGTCGCTAAATTCAGGACCAGACAGGCTCAGGCAAGTTTTACAGACGGTATTATGAGTTTCTAATTCTAAATCGGGAGCATTTGTAAATGGAAAGATCTCACAGGATGAATGTGTGAGAAAGAAAAAAAAAAAAAGGTGAAGAGGAAGGTACGACCGTGGAAGTAAAAGCATTTATTTCTACACAACATGTAGAAGGATATAAAAAACCCAGAGGGCTCTTAGTTTTCGTCCCTCCACTCAATTTCATACCCTCCAACCCACTGCCCCCAGTTACTTTCTCTAATGCCCCGTGGAGTTTGTTAAAAACAAAAGTCTGCTGCAGGCTTTCCGCGCAAGCAGGACTTCGGTTTCACTGTTTCCGTATGTGTATTCTCTGCATTAAACTCCTTTAGCTAGACAACTATGAGAAAACCACACAAAACTTGTCAATATTAAGTAAATGTTTTAGCTTGGTCAAACGAGTTTATCCTTTGGAAAACAACTGCCTTCGGCTCACAGCCACAATTTTAGCAGAAATGCGTAAGAGGAATGCTGCAAACGTGCACTCTCAAGAGATTACCACTTAATTTTGGGCATCACTGATCAAGAATTGCAATAACGTGGATCTCTTAAATTTCTTAATTCATAATATATTAGCTTTGAGAAAGAAAAGAGAACACAGGGGTATTTATCCCTCATCTATGATGTGTGCAGTCTATGTATATTTTAATTGTGCAACTCAAGTAGCCAAAATGAGTCATTTCATTAACTCAAACCATCAGCAATCTGCTGCCATTACTTCTATAGATCTTAGCAAATTTGTTTCTTCTCTATTTATTGACTTGCAAAGAAGAAACTGAATTTCCCTGTGTCTTTTTAAAGCTACCCAGAAAGTGGATAAACTCTTCAAAGAACCAAATCGAGTTCCTCTTTAATGCAAATATATTCAAAGGAAAGCAATTTAGAACACATTATCTGAATAATAGCATCAAACACAACCTTATTAAAATTTTGTTAAATGTTAGTAGCGTAACACATTTGTAATTCAGTAGGAAAATGCAATCTGATAATGGCACTGGAACTGCTATAGTAAATGTAAAATCATATTCCATGAACTAATGCAAGTGTGCTAAAATCTGATACGCAGTGAGTAATAACTTACTGTTCCACACAAGATACAACTATATCCTCAGGCATCAAGCTTAATGACAAAGGCCTACTACGAAAAACAAATATATTATCAAGGTATTCATTTTTTTACAATGAGAAAATTCATCTGCTTCAGTTTCCTTGCAAATTAAAATTTGGACTTAGGTTCATAAAAGCTTCCTGCCTTCTAGAATTCTGCAAAAGGTCCCTACCACAGGATGTGGATGGTCTACCTTGAGTCAAAAAAGTTCGGTGGCCAAGATATAAGGGGAAAGTGGAAAATTAAATAAAAGCTATTGTCAACAATTGGGCTGGTTTTTCAATGCTGTTTCTTGCTAAGGTATTCACTTACGTCACCAAGCAGTCCACCAATCAGGCAACCCCCGTGACTGAAAATCAGCAGTGTCCTCCAGCAGCACTCTTACCTAGACAGCAGACTGTCATTACTCAAAATAGAGGAGAAGAGATGCCAGTTTGTAAGTCTGAAAACATCTCTCTACGCTCTGTCCAGAGGAATGCAGGTGAGAAAATGCACACATAAGAGTATTAGAATTAGTATTAGAATTAGTATTAGTATTAGTATTAGCATTAGTATTAGAATGAAGTTTAGGCCCTGCATGGAGAAGTCCCACATTCTTCTGCATGGAGAGGAAGACCCACATTCCACCTTGGATTAATACTGGAAGCTATGGATGTTTGGGGAGAAACTGGTGAAAACAATACTAACATTAGTAACAATAATATAAACGACAACAGTCAATGATTATATAGTAGTTGCTGCTCCATCTCCATGTCTGCAGTTTCACTTTCTTTGGTTTTCAGTTACCTGCAGTCAACAGTCTGAAAATATTAAGATATTTTCAGAGAAATCACAATATAACTTATTACACTATATTATATTTGTTCTACTTTATTGTTAGTGTCAACTGAAGGATGATGAGGTTCATAAATTTGGAAAGAGCTTTATTTCTCATAGAGGGTTGTAGTCTGCGGGGTGGCCATTCCAACAGCCTGGGAAGCAAAACCTCATGCTAGAAGCCAGAAACAGACACTTCAACGGAGGGGCAAAGGGAGCACGAATCTATGCAGAGTGGGGTGGCCAAGTATACATATTTAATAAGCTATAGGAGGAGTCATGAATATTTATGCAAGGAGAAACGTGCACATGCGCAACTGCACTTCATGGCTCTCCATGGGACCCATATTCCAAAACTGGCAGTGTTAGCATGATCCAGGGTAGGAGTTTTCGGACCCTCTGATATCAGAAGGTGAAGCAGAGGGCATGAAAACCCTGACTGCATGTCTTCCATAGACTGGCCCTAACTACTCCATGGTTGGTAGTCTTTTACCAGGAAGAACTGCTGGGCAGTTGTGCCAAAACTCCAAAAGGGAGGGGCAGCATCAGGTGGCTGGTTGATACCAGCGGTGGAGTCTTGAAGGGCTGATTTCTGTTTAGCGCTTAGGGAAGAAAGCCGAATGGCATTTAGAGCGGGAGAGGGTTTCCAAGGTTATTCTGGGGTCCCCTTGGTCAAGAAGGGGTCTGTTCAGTCAGCTGGAGGGCTTAAGGTTTCATTTTTGTTTCTCATTAATTATTGTTAATCTCTACTGTGACTAATTTATAAATGAAACTTTTTTTTTTTTTTTTCAGATGGAGTCGCACTCTTATGCCACTGCACTGGAGTGCAGTGTCACGATCTTGGCTCAGTGCAACCTCCGCTTCCCACGTTCAAGAGATCCTCCCATCTCAGCCTCCTGAGTAGCTAGGATTACAGGTGTGTACCACCATGCCTAGCTAATTTTTTTGTATTTTTAATAGAGATGGGGTTTCACCATTTTAGCCAGGCTGTCTCGAACTCCTGACCTCAAGTGATCCATCCCTCAGCCTCCCAAAGTGCTAGGATTACAGGCGTGAGCCACCGCTCCTGGCCTAAATTAAATTTTATCATAGGTTCATGTAACGATTAATGTTGAGTGTCAACTTGATTGGATTGAAGGAAGCAAAGTATTATTCCTGGCTGTGTCTGTGAGGGTGTTGTCAAAGGAGATTAACATTTGAGTCAGTGGACTGGGAGAGGCAGACCCACCCTCAATCTGGGTGGGCACCATCTAATCAGCTGCCAGCACGGCTAGAATAAAGCAGGCAGAAGAACGTGGAAGGACTTGACTTGCTGAGTCTTCTGGTCTTCATCTTTCTCCCATGCTGGATGCCTCCTGCCCTTGAACATCAGACTCCAAGTTCTTTGGCTTTTGGATTCTTGGACTTACACTAGTGGTTTGCCAGGGGCTCAAGGGTCTTCAGCCACAGACTGAAGGCTGCATTGTTGGACTCCCTATTTTTGAGGTTTTGGGACTCGGACTGGCTTCCTTGCTCCTCAGCTTGCGGACAGCCTATTGTTAGGGCTTCACCCTGTGATCATGTGAGTCAATACTCCTTAATAAACTCCCCTTTATACATACATCTATCCTATTAATTCTGTCCCTCTAGAGAACCCTGCCTAATACAGTATGTATCTATGTATAGGGGAAAACATTGTGTACTTAGGGTTTGGTGCTGTCCATGATTTCAGGCATCCACTGAGGGTCTTGGAACACATCCTCCACAGATAAGGGGGGACTACTAGACAAAGTGAACGGGGGGTCAGACCTTATTCCAGGTAGTTTGCAGGTATGACTTCATTTAATCCCCACAACAAACCTATGAGGCATGTGCATTTATTATGTTTCTCTTCTCATAAACAGGCACAGGAGAAAATTACTAAGTTTTGAGGCTCTACAGCAAGTAAGTGGTAGGTCTGGGGTCTGAACACAGCCAATCTGCCTCCAGAGACTGGGCTTTTAACTGTATACTGATTCAGAGCAAACACTGACATGGTGTCCTTGAAAAAGTAAGTGCTTTTGGATCAGATGAACTAACATTAGAAACCTGTATGATACTGGCAGAGCTACTGACACACCTCCACGCTTCAGTCTCCAAGTCAACAAAATGAGGCCTAATCCTGGCATCAAGATTAAGCGAGAGAGATTTACCCAGTACCTAGCACAGGGCCTGGCAGGGTAGTTGGATAACAGTTTCCTTCTTTCCAGGGATTTCTGTTAAGGAAAATAGTTGAGGACTACACAAAGTTGTGTATACTGCAGGGGAGACAAAACCTTCCCTCCACCCTCGAAGGGTCCCAGCTGGACCTGAGACTTAAATGGACATAAAATAGATTAACAGGAGAAAAGCATTCAAATTTCATTTAAGTTTTACAGGACATAGGAGCGCTCGTTAGGGAAATGAAGACCCAAAGAAGTGGCAAAACCTAAATGCTTTTACATTTGGTTGAACAAAGAGAGGTAATTGTGGAAAAAGTAAATTATGTGGGGAGGATAAAGGGAGATAATTATTTTAACAAAGTTGTTTGTACAGAATTCACTTGGCTTTGACTCCGCATTGAGTAATGTTTCTTTCCTCTTGGTACAGTAAAGCTATTTTTCACATGGGAGTTTTTATCTCTTGTTTTCAGGAAGAAAAGAGGAAATTCAAATGGCCTTCTTGCATCTGCTATTTTTCAAGTGCCTTTAGCTCAAAGTAATCCTTATGCCAAAGTGGCATATTTTGGGCATATTCTGCCATCTTTCAGTAGAACGATGAGAAAGATGTTCACTGCAGCAAAACACATGTACACAAAAATCAAAAGGGCTGAAAAGAAATACATCTATCAAGGTGCTATTAAAGTTAATTTGCTTTTAAAAATCAAAATCAACCCTGATTTTCTTGCTTGGGAGATGAATGAAAAATATATTTTCAATGAAGTGTCACTTCAAAGTGACACTATGCCATAGCAGCTATGCACATTCACATGTTCAATAAATTCAGTGTGATTTGAATATGGCATTTTTGACTTTCTGTTCAGGCAGTGAAGTCACAAAGACAAGTGGTTAAAAAAGAAAAACATTTTCAAACACTTTTATGTTAATGACCTTCATGCTTTTATTACTAGACCCAAAAGAAAAAATCAAAATTCTGTGAGGCAAAAGCTAAGCTAGCTAAGATTTCAAGTGCAAAGGACAAGGAAATGCCTACTACAAATTGCTCTTTAGATGTTTAGAGTAATTAAATGTTTTGTCTTTTCGATAGCAAATGCCTGCCAAGAAACTCTAATCATCTTT